AGTTGTAAATGGTTAAAAAAACATACAGTTTTGCATTCATGGTTTTTTAACCATAGTAGTTGTAAATGGTTAAAAAAACATATAGGTTTGTATTCATGGTTTTTTAACCATAATAGTTGTAAACGGTTTCAAAACCGTAAAGATAAAAAACTTCTCTTAATCGTTAACTTTACTCTTAAATTAAATGGACAAACTGCTGTCGGTTATTTTACCCTAATTTTAAAATGAAAATTCTAACTTCGTGTTATTTAAAATTATTTAACAAAATAGACGGAAAAAAAATTTAATAAAACACAACACACTTACAAGTATGATTATTCTCATGCTATCACTCGACAAAAGTTGCGGAGAAGGACAGAACAAACGGAAACTATAATAATTAACAAATAATCATATCGGTATTGTTATGCAGTCATTTAAGAAAGAATATATCTAAGTACGAATTTTAAGTTTATTTAGTATGAATTATTAAGTTTAGGAAGGAACTATGCCCGACATTTACCAAAACAAATTACAAAGAAATAGAGCAAAGTTATCATGTGGACATTTAGCGAAGCAAATGAAATTTTCCAAAATATTTAAATTTGATTTCCATTAACATTTCTCATTATATAAATATAGCACAAACCTTCCATTCGAGTTAGACAAAATGTCATTGGTTTCAAGCGATTGCTTTTAATTGGTAATCAATTACTTGTGTTTATGATTGCAAGCAATCATAATTAACTTATTACAATTTAAATTGTTATTCATAATTTCGATTACAATTATAATTTTAATTGCAAATGATATATAACTGAAATTACTAACAATAATGGTTATATATGATCTATTATTACAAAGAATTCTAATTACCTCTCTTCTTGATTAAAAATTAATCTTAATTATATGCCATCTTAATTACAGTGTAATTGTTTACAGCAATCAATTAATTGTTTCCAATTACTCGAGAATATCGAGGTGACTGTTAAAGTACACAAAGATCCTTTAAAAATAAATACATCTTTAAGAAAAGTCCAAAATATCATGGTGATCATATCACGAATGACATTTAAAATGAAGAATAAATTCATAAGAGGGAAACATACAAATTCACAATTCGTTATGTGAATAGGGCTGAATTAAATTCAAAATTGGGAAGTATGATGTGTGACTATTTTCTAGCCAAGAAAGTTGTAGGTTGAATTGAAGAAGAAAATTTAAGATTGCGAGTTATGCATTTTTTTTCTTTCAGGGAAGGAAAAAATTTCAAGAAAATAAATTTTTCTGTTGGGATCAAGAAAAAAAATTTAAAATAAGGAAATAAGCAATATGACCTATTTTTAACTAGAATTAAAGCTGAACTGAACAAATTTAGGACTGCGAAATAAGCAATTCACAAAATAATGAAAGCATGATAACGAGTACGGAAAATAGCAAGAATAATAAAAAACGGCGAGAGTTTCTGCACATAGAAAACGGATTATGGGTTAGAGTCCCCTGGCCGTCGGGCTACCTGTGGGAGGCTTGCATGGTTTTCCTGTTCATGTAACGCAAATTCTGGTTTGTTCCATCAAAAAGTCCTCCAAGAAGGCAAATTTCACCCACTACTTGATCCAGCTGTTCCTTTGTCTTCTGGATTGGGTTTAAAATTACAAGGGGCTATGGAATTGAACATTGGTAGCCGTAAACTGAAAATTCGGTCTGCTGTTCAACAGCGGTTATAAAGTAAAATATATCTAGGAGAGTGAACCGTAGTGGCAAAGAGGCTAGAGCTTTCGCCTTCCAATGAGGTGAGCAGGGTTCGAATTTCAGCAATAGATGGTCTATACGAATTCCACACCCGATTCCCACCGACTACAATGCTGACGTTAAATATCCTCAGTGGTAGGCGGATCATGGGTTAGAGTCCCTTTGCCGTCACTCTAACCATAAAGGATTCCTTTGGTTTTCCCTTCATGTAACGCTAATGCGAATTAGTTCAATCAAAAAGTCCTCCACGAAGGCAAATTCCTCCTAATACTTGATCCAGGAGCTTTCTTGTCTTCTGGATTAGGTTCAAAATTACAAGGATACGGAAATGAACATTAATAGTTGTGAGCCCGACGATGTTTATAAAGTAAAATATATGCAGAAGAAGAGATCTAGGTATATGTGAAATATGCAATTTGAAACAAAATATTGAAAGCTAATAACGAGTACAGAAAGTAACAAAAAAACGTGTAGAGTTTCTAGATATGGGAGAAAAACCTCACAAATGTATCCTTACTGAAAATTATTTTCTGTTTAAAAATTCTAATAGGTAGTATTCATGTCGTTTCGGGAGGCAATTATTAATATCAATTCGGGAAGAACATAGGAAAAAATTATTATAAAGTGATGTGGGAGCATAATGTGTTCATCATTTATCTGATACTGTATTGATTACATTCTCATATTGAAGAATTAAGGCAGTGGTTCTCAACCACTATGCCGCGGCACTTTTGTAACCCACCAAATTCTTAAAATGTGTCGCCAAATATTATAAATGATACAATAAAAATTATAATGTTTTTTTTACTACGAGTAAAGTTTAAATTAAAGAAAAGCGTGTATGTATATATATATATATATATATATATACACACACACACACACACACATATATATATATACCGAAGAGCCATTACATTATGACCACCCTACTAATAACATGTAGGACCACCTTTAGCCCTCAAAACTNAGAAATAAAAGCTAATCATTAAAGTAAGCTATGCAATTAATAATTACAAAAGCAAATTAACAAAGGATAACTAACAAAAAAATAAGCTAGCAATTAATAATTAGTAAAAAAACTAGTTAACAAGAAATCACAAAAAATAACAACGTAAAAAAACTAACAGTTAATAACTATAGAAAACAAGCTAACAATTAATAACTAGCAAAAAAAATAAATAACTGCTACTGACTAATAAAAATTAGTCTTAATAAACGTGCTTTTGTAGTACATATTATTTTATTTCGCATTCAAAATTATTATCACAAACGCAGTGTATTATAGGTAAGTATACAACTTTTAAACTAATTTTTTTCATTGTGTGCCGTCAAATTTTGAAATCGTGAAAAGTGTGCTGCCACAAAAAAAAGGTTGAGAATCACTGAATTAAGGTAACAGTTTATTATTAAATAATGAAGCAAAATTTTGAAAAATAAGATAGCTATAGTTTCTAAAAATTACTATGTTTTGCTAATACAACCAATATCCTTAGAAACAGTATCAGGTACTGTTTCTTTTCTTTTTTTTTCTTTTTTTTTGCCTATTCAAAATTTTTTCAGTTTTAAAGTAGAGATGGATGACTATAATTATAAAGTATTCGTTTCAAAAATTCATCAATAAATTTAATTTAAAATAACTATTTATTAATCAATTACTAATTAATAGTCTATATGCAAAAAACATGTGTTACATTTCTTTATTTTTTGTTAAAATTATGAAAAATCTTTTAATGATTTTTGTTAGATACACTTCAAAGAATCAGGCTTTAGTTTTAAATCAAAATAGTTTATTGACGATTTACGGAAAAGTTATGTGTGGACACTTACGAAGTTTATGCTTTATAACAAGGATTTTAAATCATTGAAATTATCAGAATTATTAAAATTATAATATTTTGAAAACTAAATAAATTCATTTGAAAAAATTGCTGCAAACCTTAAATATTTTAATAAACAAATTATTAGTATTTTATTTTTAAGCAGATTGTTTTCATGGATATTGGAATTATAATATTTTGAAAATAAATTAATGCACTGGAAAAAATCACTGCAAAATGGAAAGAAATGAAATTGAAAATATTTTGTTTTATTATTCAAAAGTTGAAGCATTTTTATGAACTTTAAAATAAGATTTATTTACCTAGACACAGGAAATAAAGTGACTGTTATGGATTTAGTATGGGTGAATAATCCTTATTTATTTAAAGTACTTAAAATTTTAAACACGTGAGTTATGTGTAAACTAATTAATTAAAATACTGCTCTATGAAATTTATTATTTTTATTATGAGTTCAAAATTTTATTCCAAGCTTGAAATTTTATTACGAGTTCAAAATTTTGTTCTGAGCTCAAAACTTATTACGAATTCAAAAATTTCATTTGAGATCAATCCTGACTGACAAACAAAAATTTGTTTAGAGAGTTTTCATTTATATAAAAAAAGAAAATGAATCTACATTCATTTTATTGTCTAAAACTATAAATAATTAAAAAGCAATGTACGAGCTTACTTATTAAAAATATTTACAATTTTCGAGTTATAATATCATAAAAATTGCTTTTTGTTTTATTCTCAATCATAAAAAGAAAACGTGTTCCTTTCATTATTTAGATGAAGGTTATAAAATAATATTGTAATATATTTTTTATGTTGATAATTGTAATCTATTTTTTAACACGCCAAATAAATAAATAAAGAATATTCTTGAAGTTTCATTAAATAAATCGTAACACGAAGAAAATAAAAAAAAAGCTAGAAGCAAGGCTTTAATTTTACATATCTATGTGATCTCACAAGAAAAATATTTACAAATGAGATAAATATTTTAAGTATATTAAAATAACTAAATTTTGAAGGAAAAAAAAACGTCAATTTGGCAAATTTATATATTTTTTTATCTAGATTAGATCAAAAAATATTATAGCATTAAAATCAATAGGCAATCCTCAATTGCACAACAATGTTGTGGAACAATGTCAAGAACAATGTTGTGGGCTAGTGATTTTTCAAATCTAAAGGAAAAAACAATAATAATAATCATAATAATGAAAGAAACATATTGTCCGTTAAAAGTCGTTGAAAAACAAACTTAAAATGATAATAATTAAGCTTTCTCTTAAAAAATATATTAAATTTCTAAATCGATGGTTCCAAGAGTCAGTTATAAGATACTTAATAATTGCTTGATAAGTTTTGTATTAAAATAAGGTGTGTAGAAAATGAAAGATGTATGTTTCTTAAATAAATGCAATAAATACACAAATGCCATCTTCCTTTTGTTTTTATTGGTGCAAGATGAAATGATTTATATACAGTATTATGTTTCAATTAAGAAGGAACTTTTCTCTATATATCTTTATATATATTATAATGCACAGTACAAGTTATGAAAAATTACACTCATACCAGCTACAGTGAAATAATGTACAGTCCTGTTCGAGATAGTAGCACACCCCCACAGTAGTTTTCGAAATAATAACTCTTTATTTATTTATTATTCTCAGGAATTGTACTAATCATTTATACCCAGTAGCCTTATAACTATTTTTACACAATAAAATTTTTATTATTTTGAAAAATTTCACAAATATATGTGTGCAATATGAAAAATATATATTAGAATACTGAAAAAGTAAATACCTAGGTTTTAAATGAAACTTAAAAATAAATATTAAAATTAGCAGTAGTTCATAAATACACTTATGAACAACTGCTAATCTTTTAGTCATGAACTGAAAGAAAGAAATTTAGGAATTGCAAATAAAGAAAAGGAGGAAATTAAATAAATATTTAATGAAGTAAATAATTATTATTTAAAATTTCTTAACTAAAATTTGAGAAAAAAATTACAAATTTTTTTTGAAATAATATTTTTGTTTTCAATTTTAATGTTCACATCTACGTTAATGAAATAATATTGTTTTATTTGCTAATGATGAAAACAAAATTTAAAAAAAAATAAACTTCTGCAATTTGTTTAATTACTGGGTATAAATCAAAAATACAATGAAATAGCTTATAAAAATGCAAAATAATCTTTGTACAGAAACATATTTTTATATATTTACACATTTTAAATCTGTTGTAAAAAGAATCATTCAAATAAAATTTCAAATATTTCCTAATTACTTTTCTTGTTTACAAAGTAGTAATTCGTATCTGAATGTAATCAGTCTTGGGTAATCAGTACATTACATAAAAATATACAAATTTCTTGCGTACAGTAATAAATAAATTTGCATTTCTTACATCTAGCGTTCATTAATTTAAAATACATTTTTGTTGTCATTTTTAATAAGAAATGAATATTATTACATATGTTTTGTTTATTATTAAAAAGTTTTTTCTTTTTATACAGAATTTCTAAACTAAAGATTATTCACCAATTTCGAACATGTGTATTATATGTCTAATCATCCTCATTATGAAATTAATAAAAAGAAATAGTTTTAAATTTTAATATTCATTGTATTCTTCAGTTCAAGAATTAATTTAAAGTATTTTGAATAAATTTATTGCTAAGTAATTTTAATAACATTAATAATTTTTTAAAATACCATTCATTTCTTTCTTAATGAATATTTAATTAATAAATTTTCATTCCTCTAATCACACCTTAATTTGTTTAATTCACCCTAATTAATGACCATGATATTTTTGGTTAACTTTTTATGATACAAATTTTTGGCCTTTTATGTCTCATTTAAAAATCAAATTGTAAGTACTATCAAATTTTTCAATAAAATTACATTTGAAAAAGAAGGCTGTGAAAATATTGCACTTAAATTTGTTAATTTTACTGATATGTGAATGAACATTAAAGCCGTAAAACTATCTTGGATGAGTAAAACAGCATTCGAGAGAACAAAAAAAGATTTTATAGATTACATTTTTGTGCTCTTACTTATCTTTCTTGTTTACAAATTTATTTATTTCAGCTATTTTAAATAACTTAGTAGTTTTTAATATTCGAATTCATGAAAAAGTTTCATTTTTGTACAATAAAAACATCTGCAATGCTTGTTAAAAAATATCAGAATAAATACTAATGCATCGGAGAGTGTATTGAAAAAATATTATCCCCGAATCAATAAATTTACAAGTATATCAGACACATGAAGGAGTTTTTTAATTTAACACAATGAAGTATGAGAGGTACGCTACAATCTTTGATGGATGAAAACAAAAATAGGAAGATCTAAAAATTTAAAAAGTTGCATATCGCGAGTTAGGTTCTGTGTTTATTTTTCTCTTAATCCTGACCTGAGATATTTGCCAAAAGAAATGAATTCTGCAGTTTTGATCCTTGAAAAATCACGACTTGTAAAATAGATGACAAAGAATTTTGAAGATATTGATTTGCTTGGATTTAAAATAGTTCGCTAGTCCAACAAAATTTGGACTAGTCTTTCATGTGTACAGATAATAGTCATTTTCAGCAAGAAGTTTATTTTATATATTTTACAACCAAACTTAGGTTAACAGGACGCATAGCGCCCTGTTAACACAAAAGAATCCTTGATAAATTCAGTCGTTGCTCCAAGTGATGCTCACACCAACATTGATGCAAGATTTATAGTTCACACTTGACCATATATGGTACTGTGAGACAGTTCATCACCTCTTTGGCTGATCACCGTGGTGGCTGATCACGAATCAAAAGAAATAGCTCATCATAATCTGAAGAGGTTCAAGTTTAACATTGCACATGTGCGTGGTTTTAAGAATGAAAGTTTTTTTTTTCAGTAAAAGAATAGAACAGGCATTCCTTTATTATTCCCACAGCGACGAACCTGCATCCGACTAAGCAAAAGGACAGAAAACGAATCACACTTTAAATGCATTTCTTTTAATCCGTGATCACGACATTGTGGGGAAAGTTTTTCATTAAAGAAGGTTACCGGAAATCACAAAATTCAGTCTTTGTAATCCGTTAGTCCAGAGCACAGTGGTGGTGACCCTTCCGCACTGGACAGAGAATTCGGGAATTGTGCCCATAGCTGTGCGCAAGAAGCTAGTGCCACTGAGGGACTCTTATCATGATGATGATGATGGCCCATGTCCCAGCAACCGAGCCCTGGTTGCGGTGGAGCCCTATGTCAAGCCATAGCACCGACCATGCTGTTAGAAGTGGCCAGTCCCAATCCACCCGTTCCTAGGGGTAGAGGTCCTCCATTGGAGGACAGTGAGAGACTGGACAGTCCAGGAGCAGTGTTCATATGCATCGGAGATGATGTGACGAAAGACCCTGGCATCGATATGGGCATATTACCCTGATGCATGTAATGGTTCATGGTCATTGACATGGAGGACATGGAACCGAGCTGGCCTGTGGGACCGAAGCTTGAGAAAGGCTTGTCTAGAGGCTTCAAACACTCGGGGATGGCGAGACAACCTTTTTTCTTTTTACTTTTTGACGATAGTTTTCGATTCCGCGTCTGTATACCTTCCTTCTTCATGGTGAGAGGTCGGTTTACCTAAAAATAAAAACAAAATAAGACGTTAGCTAAACATGCCACTGAATCGTATAGGAGCATTAGCAAAGAGTCTTCAAATAGCATCGTTTAAGAATCATTCGTAAGAATCAAACGTAAAACAACAAACTGCTGTTAATATTAGAGTTAGAATACGTTAACAAAGCTGAGAATAATATTGCTAATGATGCTTATTTGAATGCTATTATCGAACCTTTTAACCATTTAAAAAGTTTCTGAATAAACGTAAATGAATTAAGGCATACAATTAAATGAATAATTATAGGTATATTTTTTTTAACTAATTAAAAAAATATAAGAAATTTGAAGTCAGATACACAAAGACATTTACAAAATTATTCAGGAATATCTGTGGGTTTTTTACTGGATGCCTGAATCGCCATAAGCGATTACATAGAACATGGAAATATATACAGTTTTCGAAACATTCTAGTATACGCATAAGACAATATGTAAAAACTATATAATAATTATAATAGTAAAATGATGATAATCTTGTAACACTATTATTATCGAGTTTCTCATTACAAATGAAATTAAGAATTTAGAAAATTGATTAAAATGTTTATCTTATCTCAACGTATCAGTTTCTATTCCGTATATTTAACAGTTAAACAGCGCTACTGATAATATACTTTCTTAAAATTAATATTGAACAAGAATAGTTTTTTAATTTAAAAAAAAAAGAATTATGTAAAGTGTTAAGCATAAAAGGATTTATTTATAGGAAAATTGTAATATATATACAGTGAATAATTTAACATTTAATTTCGTTGTATTAACATGTAATTTGAACAAAGCCCATGGAACAATTTTGTCTGTACTTTTTAACTCAAGAAATGGTCAAAAGTCAGGGTTCCAACCTTCAAATCACATTAGAACAAAAGATTTCTTTTCGCAACCCTTAGAAATCACTTTGCAACGTTCAACGGCATTCGCAAGAACAAAAGAAGCATCCAAAAGGAAATAAACACGTCAACAATAACTAAATAAATCAAAAAAACAGAAACTTAGAAACAAGTGACTCCGGAAGTTACATTGCGTGCGCATTGCCAGCCAGTACTTGGGTGACAGGCACGAGGCCGGACCTTGCAAGTTACAGCTCCCCTCCCATCGCAGTCTTCAATAATTACCGAAAAGAAAAATCGCCAAAGAGTAGAAGGTAATGCATCTTAATCGGTCTGTCGTTTTCTCATTGTTCATGGGGATGGTCTAAAATGACCCTCGCTCCAAAATTCTCTACCCAGACTTCAAAATGACGGCATCATTGTGAGAACGAACCATCGTCCATCGTTGAGCGAAAATATATGTTTGGAGAACTTTTTTTTTAAAAAGAAAAGAACTCAGAAGCCAAAAGTGGTGTGGGCAACTTTCAATTTTTTGTTCGCTTTTTCGTAGGGCACCAATTAACACTGGTGGCAGGAAGTATTAGTGATGGGTATTGTCACGCAAGGTGCGGTAGTAGCACGCACAAACCTGAGCACTTGTTGCTCGCTACACCTTGCATTGTAACCTAAAAGGCCGGGGAATACTCATCGTTGTCCTCGTTCCGTTTAGATCACGTCAACCTAATAATACAAAAGTAATAGCAGCCCTATTTCTTGCTGAAGTATGTATCATACTAAACACGGGAACGCGTTGAACCATAATATCCAGCTAATTTTCATCAGCCTTTATAAGATGCCGAATTAAACTATTATTATTAGCTCAAATTAATCTATTTTAAACTAGATTACAACCATGTTATAAATCAACTTGAACCAAAAATGTGATTCAATTTAGTACCTTATTAAGGTTTCAGCGACTTTGCTGCGCATTATAGTTACCGATACCTCTATTAGTAATTCAACATTTAATTGTTTTTTTGTTTTTTAAATGTAGCTATGTAAGAGAAAAGGGTACAAATTAAGTCAAAAATCATAAAAGCAAGTCTTATATATTTATATTTAATTTTTTTTCTAGCATATCTATGAAGGAAAAGTTTTTCAACTAAACCATATTATTCAATAAGAACCCGAAGTAGATCGATATTAGAGGTAACTATCTTAATATATATGGCTACATGTATTCTCAGGCAATAGTGGTCATTGCAAAGAGAGATAACAATGGTTATTGGGATTGATAGATATTATAGGTCACTACATTGATAGATATCGGTGGTTATTACACTGATAGATATTAATGGAAACAAATTTTAGACTGTTTCCAACTGGCTTCCGTAAGATATAGTTTAAAACGTTGAATCATAACGTTGTTAAAATTTATTGCAATTTCACTACCTTGAGAAATAAGTATGGTCGAAACTACTAGAATATGGTAAACTTTACCGTGTTTCTAGCTGTATGGGAAAAACCAAAAAGCTGGGCAATTTGTATAGAAACGCTTTGGTAATTATTTTAGTAAAATTAACAATTAAATATAATTTTATAATATGCGATAAAATTTGGTTGAATTGTGAAAAAAACATTTGGAAACAATTGGAAAATGAAGTTTTGTACAATATAGTACTATCTATGTATTTTCTATCGATATCTTTTACCATCTATACCTATATGTTCATGGTTATTATCTATATCCATATCTTTATCTACTATCTATATCTTTTTAACAAGTGGAACCATTTACGTTAAGAACAAATTAACGTAGTTTATTTAGTGTTTAAAATTTAAGCCGTATTAATGCAATTTGATTTCTAAAAAAAAATTATTATTATTATTATTTTTTTTTTTTTTTTGAAATTATAGAGCAATTTCTTCTAGTTTTCCGTCGCAAGACGCAATTTTCTGTAATAGTAATAAGGTTCAAAAATAATCATCAATAATTTACATTTTTTCCACAACAATCCGTAAAATTAATGGGACTTTTAAAAGCCGAAAAATGTACCGAAAACAGACCATTTTTTTGTAAGCTATTATTATCAGAAAATTAAAAAGAGAAGATAAAACTTTTTTTCAATAAAATAATAAATAACTATAATAGCTCACTGTCTGAAACCAGTGTCTGTTCTTTTAGTTCGAATTGTGTCGGCCATCTTGTAGAAAAGTAAAGAGAGGAGATGGGATTCGGAAAAGAGCGGTTCTGAGGAAGGGGCAATAGAGGCTGTTTGGAAGGCGGCGCACGTCCGGCACTTCCTCCGCGAAGGTCCCTGACACAGCTGCGTCGGAATAACGCTTCCCCCTCTCCTCCCCTTCCATGCCCCTTTCCATTGTGTCACCTGTCGCGACTCCGCCTCTGCCATTCTACTGGAATTGCCTTTTCCTTTACAATTTAATAGTCCTTTCTCAATAATGATAGCCATCATAAAGTAACAACACCGCTTTAAATCCCACACATTTAAGAAACAATTAAGAAATCTACTCACTTCCTCCCCTCGATTTATTGGGGGGGAATTTCGAAGCCTGATTTTTTTGGGAAATACCAGTTTTGTTTTATTTTTAAGAAGAAAAAAAAATAAAACAAAAGAATGAAATATAATTTAAAAGGTTGTTGAGTTTAAATTGAGACGAAATAGTTCATAGCTTAAACCGATCTTTTTTGAGCATCATAAAACTGTTCACTGTAAAAAACTTATGGATCAAATTACTGTAAAAAGTACAAGCACTTTAGGTGCCTCATTCATAAAATACATTTTACAGTAAAATTTCTTTTTGACATAAAATATTATACTGTTGCTTTTACAGTATTTATTACTGTACGCTATAACAGAATTTTTTGTTCCGTTACATGTTCTTGTAAAAATGAATTTTAAGGTAAAGAGTACCGGCAGCCTGAGTGCCGGTACTTTTTACCGTCATTTGATTCCGCAATTTTTTACAGCGTAATTCTGTGTCACCTGAATTGGTATTTTAAAATTTAAAGTTCAGAGTAAAGTGAGTTCAAGCAAACCTGGAGTAAACTATGAAATTTCAAATACTGAAAAAAAAAGTTTTCAAAATATCAAAATGCGAACAAATATGGAAGGATTGCGCGAGCCTGCGAAATTCTGTCGCAATTTGTTTGCATTTTAATGGTTTAAAAAACAATTTTTCGAAAAATATTTTTTTTCTAATTATTATATTTGATATGTAAGCATTTGAAACTTCATGGTTTACTTTAGATATAATTGTGCACAACGTTCCTATATTTAATATTACTCATGAAGATAAAAGAGAATTTGCCATGAATGGTTTCTCCTGGGATATAGCGTTTTAACTTCACATGAGTCGTCTGAATGCAAAACTTAAATTCTTTGAATGAGAGTTATCTTGTCGAATTTTCGATTAGTATTTTTGAATTTCCTTTCAGTTTTCCTTAGCTTCACAAATGTTTATTTAAAAATAAAAATTCATATTTTACATGCTTTTCAATATGGTATATAGAATTGCTTTTTAATAGGATTTACGTTTTGCACATTTGTCACTTCCAGTCTAAAAGGCAAAATTAAGTAATGTAAAAAGCAGTGGTGTTTGTATCATCATTTGAAATTAGTTTAATTTTACAGCTTGATGAACTTTAAAAATAACTTAATTCATTTTTTAAAAGTAATTTGCATGATTTTGAAAATTATTGTTCGCAATGTTCTAATATTGTGCAATTCAATTAATCGAAATCAGCTCCCTAAATAATCTATTGAAAGTAAATAATTTTTCGCAGTTTCAATCAAAATTGAGGTTTTAATTGTAAAATGCAGGATAAGTAATTATAAAAACCGTACTAAGTCCGTAAAATAAATAAACGATGAATACTGTAATATATATGATATATAAGAACACTTTAAGAGTTTTATTCCATTTTTATAACGAAAATTTCTCAAGGAACTGAAAAAAATAATTATATTATTCTTTTACTTGAGCCAATCCACTTAAATAAGTAAATTGGCTCAAGAAGCAGCAATATAAAAATAACATATGATGCATAATATTCAGAACAATAAAATGTAAACAAAGGTTTTATTTAGGCTAGATGCTACCGATTCCTGCTATGTTAGTTTTTCAAAGTAAAGG